TTGCTCCTGCCCTATCATCTTTGTGGCCCTCCTCTGGACTTGCTCCAAGTGGTCAATATCCTTCCAATATTGGGGGTTCCACAGAATGGATGCAGCACTCCAGGTGGCGTCTCACAGGAGCAGAGTACAGGGGCAGAATCCCCTCCCTCGACCTGCTGGCCACACTTCTCTGGATACAGCCCAGGCTACGGTTGGCTTTCTGGGCTGCCAGCGCACACTGCTGGCTCATGTTCAGCTTTTCATCCACCAGTACCCCCAAGTCCTTCTCCTCAGAGCTGCTCTCTATCCATTCTCCACCCAGCCTGTACTTGTGCTTGGGATTGCCCCAACCCAGGTGCAGGGCCTTGCACTTGGCCTTGTTGAACTCCATGAGGTTGGCAGTGGCCCACCTCTGCAGCCTGTCCAGGTCCCTCTGGATGCCATCCCTTCCCTCCAGTGTGTCGACCGCACCACACAGCTTGGCGTCGTCGGCAAACTTGCTGAGGGCGCACTCAATGCCGTCATCCATGTCACCGACAAAGATGTTAAACAGTACAGGTCCCAGTTCAATTTAAAGGACTTAAATTTAAAGTTTCTAAGAAGCTAATTTTGTGTAAACAAAAGGGAATATGAATATAAACATGTCTTATTTTTCCTTTTTGTTGTGCCTGCCATATGCTCTCAGTAAATGCTTAATGGTTGATTTTGACAAAGCAGCCTATGAAGCATACTAAAACTTTCAGCACACGTGCCCTGAGAAGAAGGCCTGGACAGATCTGATGTGTGGATATGTGGCCCTGTGAGCCTAATGAGATTGGTGCACAGGGATTTTGCAGGTGTGGAGCTTTACACAGAGATACTAGAGCTACACATAGGAGGTGTGGTTTCATGGGACTCTTTCAAGAAGTCTAGCTTAGGAGTGCAACCTCTTTTCTGATCTGTAGACTATTCGGTAGGAATATATATTCAGTTTGGTGCAAAGTTCAAGAAACTTGCCTATGTCAATGACCACTGAGAATCAGTCTGCAGACTCCCAAGAACTGCAGGGAGGAAGACAAAAACGTTTGATGTACAGCATCACTGGGTCTGCGGCCATGCCCTGAATTTTCTCTGACAGAAAATCTCTTTTTTTTTCCACCCTGGTTTATTGAGATATGCTTTGTAATATTCAGTATGAATGGCAACTGCCTATTCATGCTGATATAGTTTGCATGAAAATAA